CTATCGAGTGTTGTAATCGTTCCTTAAATATATCAGCTTGTTCAATCTCGTTTTCGATTTCTTCTTCCTTTACCAAACTTAATAATTCTTCACCGTGCACACTCAGAGTTTTCATTTTTTCCTTGAGGGTGGTCAGCTGCTGTTTCACCTTAATAACTGTTTCTGGGTTGTTTGGGTCGAATACTTGAAGACTTTCTTCAACTGCGGCAATTATGCGTTTGGCTGAAGCCCGGTGACCCCCACGGACTCTAATTTTCCTCTTTAATTCTTCTTCAGTCATCTTGTATAGAATGGATATAGGGTTTCATAAATTTCTCAAGTCCAGGATTAACTCGAATACTCGATCATTGAATAATCAACGATTTTACGCAGTATTTTCACCAATAAACTTTGAATATATGAATACTAATTATTTGCCAAGTTCGTAAACAAATTCTCGATTTCCCTTGATTTAAACGTACATCCGGCTCGAATAAGGACCATGTAAGAGACTTAGGATCTAAAGGCTTCCGCGGGATATTGAATTTGTTTCTTTTTAATAATAAATGATAAAATATACGCAAACATATAGACTTATATAAACAATAATTTGACTGAGTCCGCCATCTTGAATATTCTCTCCTCGTGGTCGCCACTATATTGTTCTTACATAACGTTCTACTTCTAACTCTCTCACAGCTATCATTGTATTTATATTGTATTTAAATACCGTAATGCAACTGTTGCTGGGTATCCAAAGATTGTCATATATCAAAATAGAAAAAAACCAACGACTAAAATAAGTGACATTCCACATGATGGCTACTAAGAGTATCAAGCGTTACTAATTAGGAAGTGATACATAATTATGTAATCTGCTGTGTTGGTGTAATGTACTCAGGTGAATAAGATGTTTGTGTGATGTTACTCTGAGTGCATATCCACACCGGGCAGGCTTGAAAAATATGCCTGGCCACGGCGGAATTCGAACCTACGACCTTTGGAATACTAGCCCAATGTTCTTCCAACTGAGCTACGCGGTCAGGACGGTTCGAGTATGCGATATTTCGGAACTGAGTCTAGTTCCCTCGATATCAGTGTAATCTAATAATCATGTAATCTGCTGTGTTGGTGTAATGTACTCAGGTGAATAAGATGTTTGTGTGATGTTACTCTGAGTGCATATCCACACCGGGCAAGCTTGAAAAATATGCCTGGCCACGGCGGGATTCGAACCTACGACCTTTGGAATACTAGCCCAATGCTCTTCCAACTGAACTACGCGGTCAGGACGGTTCGAGTATGCGATATTTCGGAACTGAGTCTAGTTCCTTCGATATCAGTGTAATCTAATAATCATGTAATCTGCTGTGTTGGTGTAATGTACTCAGGTGAATAAGATGTTTGTGTGATGTTACTCTGAGTGCATATCCACACCGGGCAGGCTTGAAAAATATGCCTGGCCACGGCGGGATTCGAACCTACGACCTTTGGAATACTAGCCCAATGCAGTTCCGAAATATCGCATACTCGAACCGTCCTGACCGCGTAGCTCAGTTGGAAGAGCATTGGGCTAGTATTCCAAAGGTCGTAGGTTCGAATCCCGCCGTGGCCAGGCATATTTTTCAAGCCTGCCCGGTGTGGATATGCACTCAGAGTAACATCACACAAACATCTTATTCAGCTGAGTACATTACACCAACACAGCAGATTACATGATTATTAGATTACACTGATATCGAAGGAACTAGACTCAGTTCCGAAATATCGCATACTCAAACCGTCCTGACCGCGTAGCTCAGTTGGAAGAGCATTGGGCTAGTATTCCAAAGGTCGTAGGTTCGAATCCCGCCGTGGCCAGGCATATTTTTCAAGCCTGCCCGTTGTGGATATGCACTCAGAGTAACATCACACAAACATGATACATAATTGTTACTATTATGAACTCGCAGCGCAGAACTAATGACCTTTCTACAATAGCCACAATAAAGCCTTACAATATAAACCCAAGTTTACCTTGTAAACATCTTATAGCCTGGAGTGATTAAAAAACCATAGTAAAAATCACAAATCTTGAAGTTTCTAGCAAAGACCGATCGTTTTACTGACTTACTGACATAAACATCCACAATTTTGTTATAGTTTGTAAGTCTGGCTATTTTGACATACACACACGACAGAAAAACAATGCTCAACGAAAATCACACGCGACCCATGTCCTGACCACAAACAGATATATTAAAAGGTGTTATGTCGATATGGAAGCTTAATTAAAACAACCGCGTAGCTTTTAGCATTGATGAGCTACCTGTAATTGCTATATACAATAGCATCACGTGCAAGCATGACCTATACTGTATTAGTGAAGCGTTACATGCTTGTGGGGTTTTTTCGCGTCATCCCACCCGCATGCATTAGTTCTTAGCAGAATCGCCATCATATTTTTCGGAGCAATATAGCATAATGTGCATTGTCATTGACTATAAAGTGTATACGTTTCGTATACAGTCTGGAAAAGATATAAAACAAAACGCGGCGCTTCAAATAGAGATTTTTTGCCAGGCACAATAGCGTACAAAAACTCGCATGATAGACAGTCAGTGACAGTGTCGAGTTTTAATTATTTTTTTTTGTTTAGATAGGGATAACTTGATTATATCCATTTCACATGGTTTTATGCATGTGAATAACTTATTATTATTATATACGCATTGCAATATGTTTCTTTTATCCAAGTTTATATGGACCTTAATATAAATTCAGCTACAGTATAGGTATGAAATTAATAAAGTGAGCATGAAATAATTTTTCCTCAATCGATAATTGCGTCTATACTAGGGGCTGCATGCATGATTACATGGAACGATTTCAGCCCGGGCTGAGTTCTGGCACTTTTCAGTCTGATTCAGCTCGGATAAACACGATAGTGATTAACACGAAATTTCTAAAGTAAAGCACGAAATTGGTAAAAACAAACAAATGCCAGCGTGTAAGAAGTGATGATTATATATGACAAACTATTCAGGTCAGACTCATGCATGTTTCAGCCCGGGTATTACGACGCCATGGTTTTCTGCGGTCGGCGATAAAACCGCACGGACCGCAACCGTAAACCGCACGCACCGCGACCGCAAAGTACCGCACGCACCGCGACCGCAAACCGCACGCACATCAACCGCAAACCGCACGCACCGCGACCGCAAACCGCACGCACCGCGACCGCAAACCGCACGCACCGCGACCGCAAACCGCACGCACCGGGACCGCAAACCGCACGAACCGCAACCGAACCGCAGTGTTACTTATTTCTAGGCAGTATACTGTATGGAGGGAAGTAATAAACGCGTTCAGTGCCACGACCTGCTCTCGTGGTCCAACTGGTTATATAGCGCGGCATAATTATAAGCGGTCCTTCACTATTCAAGCATTTTTCAATAATATAAGCCAAATTATCAACATATATCAGGAATAAAATAGCGTTTCTCATTTTGACACCAAGAACCATTTATTCATTTTTACTCTCTATCTAGATATATAATTGTTTTCCCTACAGAAAGAAACGATCGAATTGGTAACTTATAACTATATACTGTTACAGTTATACTTTAAATGTTTGTATCTGAATAAAGATATATACAATCATGGAAATTATCCGTAAACCTATTTATTAAAACTTATCTAATTGTCTTACTACTTTATAGGACAATCAATTTTTTTAGTTAAATTAATACACATGCACCCTGAAAATAAAAGAATTACTTTGCAGCTTCTGTCTTCATATACGAGACAGTCTTAGCAATTGAGTAGGTCCCGAGTATTATAGTATTATTGCCATGCTACTGCACAAGTATGTATCCAAACGCGGCAATGTCCCGATTATCTGCTCGGCAAACAGCCATTATATTGCCGCACGTTGTACTTCTCACATCGTTATTACATCCCCGTACCGAAGTACCAAAACCAATGCATGAGTTACAACTGAGGCAGTCGTTTTCATTATTTGCCACTAATCCAATCCGTACATCCATGCCCTGGTCTGGATATACGCTATGTTTCTTTTGTATATTAAATCCTTGTTCATTGCAGTTGTTTTGCAAAGACAAGTTATTGATAAGTGATGCCCATGCTTCCCTTCCAATGGCTGTTGCTTTGAAATTTCCAGCTCCAATCACATTGAACAGCGAGCTTGCTTGATAGTCAACCACAATCCATCTGGTAACACCGTTCACTTTCATTCCAAGACATAATTTGTTGAAAGGTGTGTTCCAATAAGAAGGTAGTTTTGTTTGTGTTTCTGTCAAACCTTCAAGTCCATCTTCAACTGCGTACGTTTCATTGTTTGTCCAGTAAGGAGAGTTGTATTTAAAATCATTCTGCAAAGTAAAAAGTTTACTCATTTCCTGCAAGGGTGCATGGGTTGACTATATTAATGTTTTTGTCGTTCGCTACCGCAACAGCTATATAGCTGTAGCCAGCTAGAAGTTGTAGCCAGCTACAACTTCTGTTATTTGACAAGAAAAGTAATATATACACACTGTTATCTCTATCATGTTGATGAATTTGAAGAGATTATTTATAAGATTCCGTACCTTGTTCCCATCCACTTTGATCACTAGTGTCCAACCTCCTTGGCCACATCCAGCTATTTCAATCATGTGACAGTAAACTTCATATTGTTCGAGTGAATGTGTATTTCTTAGTCGGTAAACACCATTACTTAATGACCTATAAATAGTGCGAAGTCATGTGAATGTTAGCACAGAAAACTACGTCGTAATTCGTAATATAATGTAAGATTGAGTCAGAAATTTAGATTATGGTATTTACACCAAACATTTGAGATAAAGCATCTGTCACTTGACTCACGTTTATTTACTTATGCATGTTTATTACATGCCACCACATTTTTGAAAGTCAGCTGTTCATTAGGGTACAATAACAGGCAGTAATTTACTGTAATTTTGTGATTTACATGCACATACCTGTTCTGCTCAAGTAGTTCCTTACAAGATGATAGCAGCTGTTCTTGATTTGCTATAGAAAAAGTATAAATAAATTACAATTCTCTTAACTATGCATAATCCCCGAGTCGACGGCGCCAAGCGCTGTGCGAGGGTACTAATTCCCTCCGGCTATTTACACCCGGGGAAACGAAAGCATTAGCGAAGTCTAAAGTTCATCAACGATCGCGGGCGTGGTTAACCAACGAAGTTTCGGTGGGTGGCCATCCTCACTGATCTCGAAAATATGGCGGACTGTCATGAATAGCAAACACTGATTGGCCCAATCACAGCGCCCTGGTCCAATATAAAGTTTGCATTATAACGACTGCATGACGACAGCGAAATAGAAAACATTTCTTGTTTTGATACATTTGATGATTGATAAATTTCAAGATTTTGCAAGATTTTGTAAATTTCAAAAGCTTTCTCAGAAAGAAAGGGCGAAAGAATCAGCTAAAAGAAGGGAGTTGACGTTAACGAAGGTAAGTTTGTTTCAAATATTGATTTAAAACCCAATTAATTGCTTTAAAACCCAACAGCCTTTGCGTATATGAAACAACTAAACAAAACAGCATATAATTTCAGTGTATCTTTAATATTGATTCCCTTTTTTATTATATTGAATTTTTTAAACAAGAAAGAAAGCAAAGTTATTTGCATGCGAGAATTTGAAATCATTTTATTGCAAACTCAAACTTGTAATATCGATAAAGCCATTTAATTAAAGTAATATTAAAAGGTAGTTTAGTTTCATAAAGAACACTTTAAAACATTTTGCGAAGCGTTTGTGGTTGAATTTTACCTTAAATTGAAATTTATATTACGTACAATAACATACCGAACATATATATATGTTGGGAAATTGATAATTTTGTAATTAAAAGTGATATTTTTAGGCAATTTCTCATTTGTAAGAATATTCTTAAAAAATTATCGTGTTACCATGACAACTACTTTAGATACTTCATGTTCGGAAAATGCAATGGTCTTGTCAGCAAGGCGAGGGTTTCTGCATGCATGTATTTTCTAGTTATATAGTATAGAAACAACTGGCAGCTGTGAATTAGAAGATAACTGGTTTGTAGGTTTCGAACCCACGCCCTCGAAATGACTGGTGCCTTAAAACCGCGCCTTAGATTCTCGGCTGTACGAGTGTCCAGAACAACGGATGGTCCCTAGCCTTTGGATTCTGAATCTAACCATCTGAGTTCAAATCCCGCCAGAACCTCATGCCTATCTAATGTTGTTTTCTTTCTCGTTTTCTGTCCGCCGAAGATATTTTATTTCATTGGGAGTCTTTTCCAATACCCTCTACTACATCTTACAGGAGCAAAAGCCGATGGATTCTAAGAATCTGTTTGGATTGCTTCCCATAAAATTCCTTCTTATTGTTTCTTTGTTGGGATATATTTCTTTCTCAAATATCGAGATTCATTGCAAGGAGCACGGTGGCGCATTGGACATGCGCTGGGCTTATAACGCAAAGGTCAATGGATCAAGGCCAAACAACATGCACGTTTCCAAAACAATAAGCGCGTTGTCATGGCCTGCTCTCGTGGCCCAGTTGGTTAGTGCGCCGTGCTTATAAGCAGTGCAGAAGGTCGAGGGTTTTAGATCCCCTCCGGGAGCAAATTTTTAGCAATCCTTCCGAAACAGTGGTAACATGGGTAGCAGTTTTGTTGGTGCGTAATAGTACTGAGGGTGTGTAATTAAATATCATGATCGTTAGGGTCGCGAGAGGAGGAAAATAAAGGTTCTGAGGGTACCCGAGGATGTGTGAGGTCGAGGGCGTATAATATATGCATGACGTCACATCAATTATTTCCGAACGGCTTCCGAAAAATTATTGTCGTCAACGTTGTGTTTAGTATCAAAACTTTCATGTGATGAAGCGTAAAGCCTTGGTGTCTGAATGGTATGTATGAAGTAATGTATCATTATAGCATTATAATTTATTCAATTTAGTTTGACTCCAGGCCCTCACGGGACTTGGGGTCAAAATTAGTGACGATTTACTATAAGCAAGGTTGATAAGACTCTTCAAGTAGAACTGAATGTTGAAGTAGCTCTTGGGGATTTCATGTACGTTTACTTAGTCTATGTATTTGAACAATTGTACTTTAATAGATAGTATGTATGTGGTGTATTTAAGCATGCCTTTATGTAATTTTCTAGTTTTCACGAATATAACTTATCTTATGATAACATGTCGTTGACACTTCGCTTGGGGTCGGTGTTTGCCTCCGAACGCGACAGTATGGCATTGGGTTGTTAAAGTACCAATGGTTATTAAAGTCCCAAAGAAAGAGAGAGTTTGAGTACTTCACCAGTCAAACATTTTATAGGGTTAAAACATAAACATTTTGATGCGGAACGTTGTCAAGGTAAACTATAACACGTGTAAAACACAAACGTTGAGATAATTAGGTTGGTTATTGGAAGAATACAAACGTGCATCACTAATAGGATTTCAAAGGATAGATAGCGATAATATGAGCAGTTCCCTCAGAAACCACAATCCTTTTGCTGATCTCGCCATTTTTTACGCAATGTGACTGAATCATTGAAACCCAAGATTGAATGATAGATTCAATTAGTGAGTCCTAGATTGAATTATTGTATCCTAGCTAGATTGAATAATTGAATGATAGATTAAATTATTGAATCCTATGGATCCAATGATTCAATCATTAGATTTAATTATTCAACCCTAGGATTTAATCATATGATTTGCAACGGTAACAATTATGAAAGCCCTGTTAATTAACGCCCATATGCAAAGGCCCAGTAACGCTCCAAAATGAAAGTAACAGGAAATGGTTTCTATCCCTTGTGAAATTTCTTTTATTAATGCTAATTGTAAAGACAGAGCCCCCTTCAGCATACACATGTCATTGCAAATCACTTCAAGCAACTTAGCAACACGAATAAATATATCAGTTCGTTATGAATCATGCTGGTGTCTCAATGATAAATTGTAATAGAAAGCAATAAAAACTGAAATGTAGGTAGGTGACATGAGCAGACCTTTCGCAGTCCCGACAGTTATTTACAGGAAAAGGTTGGGATTATTCTTGTAATGTATTTATTGTGTTGTAGGCTATTGTATCGTAATGGAGAGAAGAATAGTCGCAAGATATGGCACAGGTGATGTTGTCTGCACGTTGACTGATATTACTGCTGATAATAACAGTATTACAAGTGACGATGAAGAATCTTATGAATCTGATAGCATTGTTGAGGACATTGACTATCGCCCACTTGAAATTGATGAAATCCAGAGAAGGAAAATGGAAATTATGCTGGCTCAGACGTATCGGCCGAAGTAGCTGAATTAGCAAACTCTACCAGCAATAAGAGAGAGAGTCCGACATGCGGGAGTCGAAATGCCAAAACCAGCACAAGTTTTGCAATCAAAGATTCCAAAACCAAGCAAAGCTGTTGTCGCACAAGTTGAATATAGAAAAGTATATTTCAAAAATTGGTTCATCCAATCTCACACCTGATCAGATCAAATATTTTCGGACTAAATTGCCCCAATTTGACAGCAGAAAAACTAATGTGAAACTCACTGCACAACTCATCAAATCCTTTGTTAAGATTAGTAAGAGAGGTTGGAAAAAGCGGGAGTAGCCCACACAAAATCACAATTTTGATAACCCTCAAGGTGAGCAAAACTAAAGTTTTTTTATGTAACTACTCGTGCCATTATTCCATGATCTACTATTTCCCCCCAATTATTATGAGTGGTCCACATGTCGATTCTGGCTGGTTAGTGGCCGAAACGGATGAGAAAAGCATGGCCGGGACAGCAATCCTGTTGTCAATAGATCAACAATATGAACAGCAACCAAATATTTGAATATATCACAATGCTGACATAATATTCCAACGTTTTAACGTTGACAATTGACAAAGCAACATTTTATCATAAATGCCAACCAAAATATAGATTATACTTTTTCCATGCGACCAATTAATTTTTGTGTACTATGTTTATTTCGTGGGCCCAAAGATGAGTACTTTGATCAACTATCCCCATCAGATGTTGGAATTATTTTGCTAAAGATGCGGTGGACGACATCCTATTCCAGACAAACCTGCATGCAAATTAGAGAGAAAGAAATTTTCCTCCTTTGAGCAGAGAAGAGTTTTATGGTTTTCTTGGAATCAATTTGAATGGGTTATCATGAAGTGTCATCTTTAGCTGATAATATATTGGAAAGCTGACCATGACCTTGCTGTATACTTTCTTCAACATTGCCAAGAAACAGATTTTCCCAGATACTAAGCAATTTAGATGTAGCAAATAACACTTCTATTCCTGGTGGTCACAATGACAAACGTTATAAAGCAAGACCATTAATTTCTGCAAAGAATGCTAGTTACGTAAAATTATATAATCATAATATCATCATCATCATCCCGTTTGTCCCTCAAGGGGGTCGGGTGATCTTGACACCTTACTCCATTCTACTCTGTCGTTGACTTTGTCCAAATCCTCCACTCTCCCATCAACCCGAATCCAATCCATCCATCGTTCTCTTGGTCAACCCCTACTCCTTGTTCCTGGTTCCTTACGCTCCACAATCCATTGCCCATCTAACAAGCTCTCTCACTTCCATTCTCTTCACGTGTCCGTACCGTCTCAGTCAACTTTCTCGAATCTTCTCTCTCAGCTCTGTCACCTTCAATTCCTGTCTTATATCTACATTTGCCATTCTATCACGTCTTGTTACACCTCTAATTATGACTCGTAAACATCTCATCTCTGCCACTTCCAATTTCTTCACATCCTCTTCCTTTACTGCTCAGGTCTCTGCCCCATAAAGAACCACCGGTCTTACCATAGTTTTATACACCTGCGTTTTCAGTCTAATCGACATCCGGCTAATCGCGTATTATTCCACGTACATTCCTTCATGTATTTACCTGTACCCTGCAATCTTGCCTGTATCTCTCTGTCCAAATCTCCACTCTCGAGTTGCCAGCTTCCTAGGTACCTGAAGGCTGTTGTTTGTTTCAGTTGCTGTCCATCCACTATAATCTCCAGTCTTGGCACTGGTTGCCCTCTTGAGACTTCTAGTACTTCCGTTTTCTTCTTGCTCATCCTTATACCATGTACTGCCAGTTGGTTGTCCCACATCTCTACTGCTTGTTGTAATTTCTTTGTCATTTTAGCCTCCAATTGCTCCAAAGCGATATGTTATCAGCATAAATCACCTTCTGTCCTCTCTTCATCGGGCACTGCTTACTGCTGTAATCGATCAATATTATGAAAAAGCAGTGGACTGAGGGCTGAACACTGATGTAGTCCTACTTTCACTTCAAATGCCTTATTTTTACCAAAGCATGTTCTCATTTGTCTACTTGTGTTCTGTACAACGCTATCACCATGTTTATCAGTTTCTCTGAAACGTGGTACAATCGCAGGACTGGTGGAATCATTCCTTTATTAATTTTGTCATACGCCTTCTCTAAGTCCAAGAAGCCCCAGCAGCTCTCTTGTTGTAATTCTAGCTTTCTCTCCATCATCTGTCTCACAATGAACATAGCATCAATCGCCCCTCTTCCCTTCCTGAAACCAAACTGATCTTCTCCCAGGTAAGGCTCCACGAACACTCGCATCCTGCTATCTAATATTTTATGAAAACATTTCATCATCTGCGATAGAAGTTTGATCCCTCTATAGTTATCACACTCACGGATGTTTCTTTTACTCTTATATAAAGTCACCTGTCCAGCATGGATTCTAACCAGTCGTCGGGTATACGCTTTTCTTTCCAGATTGCATCCAATACTCTGTGTAACCATACAATCCCTTCTTATCCCAGCGCAAGTACCATCTCCAGCGTGATCGCATCTTGTCCTGCTTCTCTTCTTGATTTCATCTTACTTATTGCTCCTTTACTTCCTCTGTAGAGATTCCTGGCTATTTATGTTGTTGTTTGTATGTTGGCAGTAAATGGATTTTCCTCATTGAGAAGGGTTTCAAAGTACTCCCTTCACCTGTAAATCTCCTGCATCATAAATAGTACTGCTTCTCCCTCTATCTGTAAATCTCCATTCATGTTGTTAAATAAAGGGCGGCATAACCTAGCTTGTATTCCTGTCCCTCCTTTCTTGTTCTTACTAGCTTGTAGTAAATCTTCTTTTGTGCTACAAGTGGCTCGTTTTCCAGTTCATGGTATAAATAATCTTCAGCTCTTTTCTTGGCTTGTTTCACTGCCCATTTCTCCGCTGTCTTAGCCAATGTAAACCTTCGTCGTGCCTCACTGTATGGTTGCCGTTCTAATTCTTCTCTGCTCTTACTCCATTCTTCAATTGCTGTCTGTACTTCTTCCGTCCACCACCACTCATCTCTATCAGCTTTCTTCCCATATCCAGTTCATATTCGTTCCGCTGTCTTCACAACCAAGTCCTTAAACTCCTTCCACTCTGCTGATCTTACTCTCCCTGCTCTCGGCTGTGGAACTAGTACTTCCTGTCCGAATATTTACTGCTACTGATCCTTTCAGTTTTCGACTTCGTATCTACGTTTCTGTCGAGCATAGTTCCTTCCAACCAAACCTCTCTAGCCTTAGTGTTGCCACCATTGGTTTATACTGTGGTGTCACTGTTTCACTCGGTATCACTTTCGCGTCCATCATATGCTTCCACTGAGCTTTTCTTACATTAATCATGTCTATCTGTGTCTTACTTCTACCACTATAATAAGTGTACAGCTGGCTATCTCTCTTCTTAAACCATCTGTTTGGTATTATCCATCCATTGAGACTGCACATCTCCAACAGCCTTTGTCCTTCAACATTCCGATTGTCCCTGCCATAGCGTCCGATATATTGATCTAGTCCTTCTCTGTCCGATCCTGTATGATCATTCATTCATGTCGCCCAGAACGAGGTCTTCTCTAAACTGTTGATTTACCTCGTCCTGGAGCCGTGATTGATGTGCATATGTCGCCACCACAAACATCATCACGTTCTTCATTTGCACTCTTACCATTATTACCACCTTATCTCTCGCTCTGATCACTTCTACAAACCAGGGACGTCGCTATAGGGGGTTGTGGGAGGTGTAACACCCCCCCCCCCCAATAATTCAAACGTTGGTCAAAGTTGGTCAGAATGGAACTGGTATTTGCCCAAAGTTGGTCAAAATGGACTGATATTTGCTTAAAATTGAAGGTAAAACTCTGAAAAATTTGGTCACAGTTTGGGATAAAAGATGGTCAAAGTTGCTCAAAGTTATGAAATGGTTGGCAATTTAAACAATGTTAAAGCTTGTGTTATGTTTGCGGTGAAAAAATTGGAAGCTTTGCTTATCTTGGTCGAAAAACTTTGAATATGCTTATGTTAGTCCGTAAATTTTTTTAACTCCCCCCCGTCGACAACATTTTCCGGAAAAATTTGTACGACTTGGTCAAAATCCTAGGAAAGGTTGGTCAAAACATGGCGACACCCCTCCCCCGCCAATGATGATGGCTTCACGAAGTCCCTGCTACCACCGTCTTCGTAAAATTATATAATGTATTTCTGGGGGAGAATACCCCCAGACCCCCCTATTATTAAATGCGATGCCACACCAAACTTTGTGTTACCAACAACAATCTATCATTTCTCCGCACTATAGTATCATGGTCCCATTTTGTAGATGCCCCCCCCCCACTGACGAATTCTTAAAAAATGCCTTGCTACGACAACGTAAGCGAGTTTGATTTACACTGTACAACTGGGCGGTTGATATAGCTAGTGCTATTCGCGCAATTTGATTTGTTTCAGCTGCGCGGATATCTTGCATGCACTATTCATCTCCGGACCAAAACAAACATGACTTCCTGTTATGTTCCGGTTACAGACGAGGAAATGTTTATGCTAAATAAAGTTGCGGTTTCGCCAAACATGAAGAAAGCCCCAATGGTTTGTGCAAGAATATTAGTCTAGGACCTGTATATGAGTTTGTATGCGTTTCATTTAGCTACAGGTAATCTCAACTGTTTTAGGGTAAAATTACCATGGCCGTCAACAGGTATATGTGCCAAAACCTGAATCTGTCTGGGACGACAGTCCTGAAAATGACCCCGCCCTAAAACGGCAGTGTCGACATAGCTCTACCTTCCGAAAACAAAAAGCGATAGTCTTTCTGAAGTGCTTATAATGTTCAGAAGGGTTGCTTTTAGGGATGGTCATTGGAAGAAAAAATTTGTCTAAGTATAATATTTTACAAGAAAATGACCATGCACCACCCCAGGTAAATTGCTAATTATGCATAAAATAACTAATATGCTGGCAGAAATTAAATATTCTTATTTCCTAAAAAAATATCATGGGGTGAAAAACTATGCTTAGTTTAATATAAAGATTGTTGATTTCATAAGGATTGTCATTGTTTTCTTTAAATATAATACATTTTATTTCACTTACCCCCCACGAAAACACGATTTCAGCCATATTTTGCCATCTTGTTTGCTTTTTATCGCCGAATCTGGCAAATATCATCCAGTTGTTGTATTTTTACATAATCATAAATGGCTGTAGAAGATTTCAAAGAAGGTTTCATCAAGTTTTGAAACAGTGCAGTGTATTTTATCTTCGATATTGTGTCCTTCGATATTTCGTCAAATTGCCGGC